CATAGTGTTTGCAGTAGGCCGTGATGGACAGCAGGAATGAAGTGGTCAAAGTCAGGAGTAAGTGAGAAGTCCCCAGGTAGGCGAAGGGGTTCACCTAGGGTGAGATCCGCTGGGCTGCAGTCTATGTCTTTTTTGTGAGATGCGCGGATGCCAAGGAGCACTAAGGGTAGAGCATCCGTCCAGCTGAAGGGGTAGTGCTGTGCCTTCATGGTGTCCTTCAGCTGACGATGAAACCGCTTTACCCTGCCGTTGGACTGAGGGTGGTAAGCAGTAGTATGGTGCCGAGGAACTGCAGGAGACTATGCCAGAGTTGTGACTCAAACTGGACTCCTTGGTCGGTGATGACAGTCGTGGGAGGACCGAAACGGGAGACCCAACCAAGCAGGAAAGCCGGACTGCTGACTCTGCTGTAGCATCAGACATGGGAATGGCTTCTATCTGCCTGGTGTAACGGTCAATGCAGGTGAAAGTGTGGGTGTTCCTGCAAGATGAAGGAAGAGGTCCCACAATGTCGAGTTGCAGGTGAAGGTGTGGGTGTTCCTGCAAGATGAAGGAAGAGGTCCCACAATGTCGAGTTGCACTACCTGTTAGTTTCCTTTGAGCACAGGAAAGGTTTCTAAGGGAGCCCATGTGTGCCGGTGTATCAGAGAGGACTGGTAGGCCAAACATTGGGCAGCCCATTTCCGAGTGTCAGTCTTGATGCCGGGCGAAACGACACGTTACGTGAGGAGACGCTGGGAGGCCCGTAAACTTGGGTGGCTGAGACCACGGATGAGGTCGGTGATATGCCTGAAGTGACGGAGGTTGTGGCGTTTATCAATCCCCGAACCAACAAGACCTCTCAACAAGCTCCTCAAACAACAAGACCTTGTGGGGTTTCGTGATGTAGTCTCACACTCAGGATGGGTTGGAGAAAGGAAACTCACAATGCATTTTCTGTATTTAAATATATTGAATGTACTGTGCAGTTTGATGCTGGGAAATTGCTGCTTGGAAGAGGAGTTTGCTGAGAGGTCTTGCCGGTTCAGGAACATGGAGTAGAATGAGAGCTGGACAGCGAGGAGCTTGCTCAGAGGAGGAACGTAGGGTAGAATGAATTTCGATGGCGAGACTGAGAGCTTATATACTCAGCTACCGGAAGTAAACCCGGATGTGACCGTCGACCACCCCCCCCCCCTGTCTAGACTTGTCAGAGAAACTTGGCGCAGCTCTAGGCGACTAGGCTTTGACTGAACTCCGTTGCTATGGGATGCGGCTAGGCTTGTCAGTTGTAGGGGAGAGTATCCACTACAACCTCTTGGCAAGTTCCTCACCACACAGCAACTCCCTAGCACTGCACTGTACATACAATATATATATATATATATATATATATATATATATATATATATATATATATATATATATATATATATATATATATATATATATATATATATATATATATATATATATATATATATATATACGGAGAACACTATTGTGAGTTTCACTTCTTACCTCCATCCTTAGGGCGAGATTGTAATGGATTCCTTCCCTACAAACGCCGTGTCGCTGACTAGCCAACCCCCGCGAATTCCCCAGCGTACACCTCGTGGGTAAGGTCAGGTAACCAGTGCCCCCGAACAAAGCGGAGGTCTACAATCAAGCCACGCCTACCCCCGCTATATAAGACCTCACCTGGCCGTGACATGCCCTTCTTCTAGCTACAGCCGCAGCAAGCAACACCTCCTCTGAGCACCCTCACCAACCAGCTCTCTCTACATCACGCTTGGACTCACGCTGCCACTCCCTAGCACCAAGCTGCATTGTACATCCAATACAATATATATACAGAGAGCACATTGTGAGTTTCCTTTCTCCAACCCATCCTGAGTGTGAACTAATATCTTGTACCCCACAAGATCTCCTACATGTACGTATGTTTGTGAGCCTAACAAAGAGAAAATAGACAAACATAGAAAAACTTGACAACTGGCCACATACAGGTACAGTACACTACAGTACACCTAATGTATTATCTGCTTATTTTACCGTTATGTAAATAAAATATGCTTGCTAAAAAGTGTGAATGAAAAATAAAAGGGTATCCTTTTACATAGCCTTATTTTGAGACTCATAAGACTTGCCTGCCCCCCCCCCCCTTTCCATGAACATACGCCTGTGGGGTTATGAGATATTGGTTCACACTCAGGATGGGATGGAGAAAGGAAACTCACAATGTGCTCACTGTACATATTGTATTGGATGTACAATGCAGCTTGTTGCTGGGTAGGTAGCATGGTAATAAGCTTTGAGTAGAGAGAGCTGGGTGGTGAGGGTGCCCAGAGGAGGGACACGCGGCTTGAGGGACGCCAAGGTCGCTGGCGGGAGCGGCAGCTGCCAGGCTGGCGCGGAGGAGGTGTTGCTTGCTGGTGGCATTGTGTAGAAAAGAGGCTGGTCACAGCGGTGTCAGGCCTTATAAGGCGGGAGTACCGGTAGGCGTGGGTAGATAGTTGACCCCCGCTCCGTGGGCGGCGCCAGGCTGGGGAATCCACTACACGCCACTAACTGATGTTCCTAACAGTTTATGTATGTTTAGTATAATGTGGGTACCAATTGTAACCATTTTTTTTTAATTTAACAAATCAGCATGATTTACATTCCTAAGGCATGGATCATAAATGTAGTACAGTATATGTTAATTTTTTATACTTCATTCTTTATCATCTTCGCCATTGATCTGCTTTTAGCCACTTGGGCGGTCGGTTAAGGATTTCACAAAAACAATATTTAGTAACTGTTAATAGTATTTTATTTATATTAGTTAGAGAAATACATCTATTTTCATTAAACAAAATTAAGCGTGTTGCATGCTGAATAATGGTACAAACTGAAATTATTTGTATATACAATGCTAATATGTTAGCATATATCATTTGTACTGTAGTGGATTTCTCCCCTACAAATGCTGTTTGTCGCTGCGTAGCCGACCCCACGAATTCCACAGTGTATGCCTCGTGGTCTAGGTCAACCAGCGCCGCCCATGGAGCGGGGGTCAACTACTAAGCCACGCCTACCCCCGCTATTTAAGACCTGACCTCGTGGTGATCTCTCTCTTTCTACCTACACCAACCAGCCAGCAACACCTCCTGCTCCTCCGCCTGCCTGGCGGTCCTCGCTCCCGCCGGCGAGCATGGCGACCCACAAGCTGTCCTCCTCTGAGCATTCTCACCAACCAGCTCTCTCTACATCACGCTTGTAACCACGCTGCCACTTCCCAGCACCAAGCTGCATTGTACATCCAATATAACATGTATACAGAGAGCACATTGTGAGTTTCCTTTCTCCATCCCATCCTGAGTGTGAACCAAACATCCAAAAAAAACCCACAAATGGTGACCCCCGGAGATTCGCACTCACACAGGATGGAGGAGAAACAGATCACTCTCCCAGTCTTCAAGCAACATGGAAGACTGGCTTATCCACCCAGAAGCAGCTCTCATCGGCTCTACAGCTACTGTCTCTACACCGCAGGTTAGACACCCTAGAGCAGCACTGCTTCTCTAAGCAGACACCAGCTCCTCTTCCTGCCCCAAGCACCACGTCCTACCGACCCCAACACACCCATCCTGCCTCAGACGCCGCCCCGGCCCAGCAGTACCCCGTGCCGCTTCTCCTGACGCGGCCCCTGCTCCTGAGTGCGGACCCACACACCCCTCTTTTCTCCCTCAGGTACTCCCTGCTAATGTCCTGCACCCTGCTGCTGTCGTGGACCCAGCTGCTGTCACGAGCCCTCATCCACGTTTGCTGACACAGCCCCTGCTCCTGACCCAGGCCCTCACACCCCAGCAGGTGCATCTGACGACTCTGTACCTGCCGTGAGGGAAGCACATGCACCGCCCGCCCTGCCTGAGACGCCGCCCCGGCCTAGCAGTACCCCCTGCCGCTTCTCCTGACGCGGCCCCTGCTCCTGAGTGCGAGCCCACATACCCCAGCAGACACATCTGACGACTCTGTACCTGCCGTGAGGGAAGCACAACATTCATCGCCTCCACACACCCTTTTTCTCCCTCTCTACTCCCACAGATATTGTGTATCTAGACAGTTGTCTCTAGCGACCGGCTCAGCCACGCCATCGCCGTTGTCTCACATGTGGCATGCACCGCCCGTTCTGTCTCACATGTGCTATGCAACCCTGCAGACAACAAGTCTCCTACACCGCCTGGAGGGAAGGAAGGAGTATTGTAGTGGATTTCTCCCCTACAAACGCTGTTTGTCGCTGCGTAGCCGACCCCACGAATTCCACAGTGTGTGCCTCGTGGTCTAGGTCAACCAGCGCTGCCCACGGAACGGGGGTCAACTACTAAGCCACGCCTACCCCCCTCTATTTAAGACCTGACCTCGTGGTGATCTCTCTCTTTCTACCTACATCAACCAGCCAGCAACACCTCCTCCTCCTCCGCCTGCCTGGCGGTCCTCGCTCCCGCCGGCGAGCATGGCGACCCACAAGCTGGTCCTCCTCTGAGCACCCTCACCAACCAGCTCTCTCTACATCACGCTTGTAACCATGCTGCCTTCCCAGCACCAAGCTGCATTGTACATCCAATACAACATGTATACAGAGAGCACATTGTGAGTTTCCTTTCTCCATCCCATCCTGAGTGTGAACCAAACTACCGTACCCCACAGTACATTATGTTTTTGTTTGCAAACTTTTCCACCTGTTATTTTATGACACCAGAAAGTCATAAATTCACAATACATTATACTGTATGCAATAATTTTCGATGTTCCCCGATTAAAAATGACCTTTTTTGAGATTTGTCTCCAATCTATCCCCAGTGATAACGAGAAAAAAGATAAAAAAAAGTCCTGGGAGGAACCTTATACTTTTTACTTTTATCCTCTTCGTCATTGATCGGCTCGTTAGCCGCTTGGGCATACCGTCCAAGCGGCTAACGAGCCACTTGTGGCCATTGGGTAAATACTGCCCACTCCATGAACTTGTTCAACTTGAATTATTTTATCACAATTCAAATTCTTCAAAAACTATTTGGAATGAGAGTTGTGAACTGTTGGAGTAACCTTGGTGTGGCCGCCTCCTGCTGGTGCGGCTGACGGGTATCAGTTGTTTATTGCTTCACTTCAAATGTACACAAACATGGCAGCAACACCGCTCTCATTAAGTGTGAGTTTTTATTCTTTATAATACATAACACTACATAGTTTGCAATCATTAGATATGAATGGTTTGATACAGGTTAATGTATATGTTTACCACTAATGGCAGTAGGCTGGTTATGGACAGTATTATAAAGCCGGTCCAACCAATTACCCAAAAGTATATTAAATCAGGGTAAAATCTTAACGAATATATGTTTTACATCATTAAAACCTGATTAATAATGTTTTCATTGAAATGTAGTCAAAGTAATGTTATAATAAACCGCGAAAAACACTAAAGTCCAAAGAGTCATCTATCCAAAATGGAGATATAATTACCGATGTTTCTGTTACGTTGGGGTATTTAACATAGCTGTAGGATTTACTTTTCGTTAGGTTAGTGAAGTGCATCACGATGGATCTGAGTTATCTCCCTTGTTCACCAACTCTTTGGAATTTAGCGTTAGCCAATACTGAAAGTTTTTCGGATTATTATTTCAGCTTACAAATTATTTTTACTAAATTACACTAAAAATATTGTTAAACATGTTTTGTGTATGTATGACGGATATTTGTTAAGATTTTACCTTATTTGCTATACTTTTGGGTACTTTTGGGTAATTCGTGGCTCCCTTATAAAGCTACCCGGTAAGTCATTACTGTGAGGTGGTCGGTTCCAGGGGTTGTGATGATAACATCTTTATCAAGAAATAAATAACTAAATATGATAAATATTAGGTAATTATATAGAACTAATCCGCGAGCAAAATTTATTGAGAACAATTATAAAAACGCCGGATTTTCAATATTATTATTACCTTCTTCACCACTGATTGGCTCGTTAGCCGCTTGGGCGATCGGTCACTGTTGGCAAGTACTGGGCATGCACCGGCTCCTGAATGTACCTGAACCTGCTTCAGTGTTGGTCAAGTCTGGTCTTGAAAGAGCTCACACTCGGTGCCGTCACAACACTTTCTGGTTGATTGTTCCAAAAGTTCACAACTCTCACTCCGAAAAGGTTTGCCCTCACAGTTTGGTAAATTTGCATTGTCACACCGTTCTCTGTTCGAAAGTCAAAAATATATTTTTCTAGTGTATTTGTGTGTGTTTAGACCGAATATGACCTTCATTTCTGGCGGAAATTAGCGTTTTTTTTTTTTCTAATTTTTTTCGTTGGACGTTTTCCGAAAAAAATCATGGCAAAATACACCAAAAACACTAGAAAAACAAAAACCAAACCTAACCTACCCTAACTGACTCTCACCATATGATGGAATCACATATTTCTTACCTTATTGGCCTGGTTCTTGTTCGTCGTTGCATTCTGGGATTCTTACCCAACGCCACATATGTTGGTCTTTGTGATATTTACATTCAGTCTTGCTCTTGGTACACTTTACTGAGGTCGGAAGAACACCATGCGATCGAGAAAATGCTATAGTTTCTACGTTTTTTTTCCAAAAACTTGCAATCAGCTCCATATACTTTAAGTGACACCCATCGCAGACTTCCATGGTCGGAACTGAACTTGAATTTCAAAATATGAGAGACCCAAAATAAAACTCAAATTTGATTGGGCCAAATATATTGCGAATTAAACCCAAAATCATTTTAATTGGTTCCAAAAGCAAAAACGCTTTTGATTGGCTGCGTGACGTGTACGGGAACGCATGCGCGTGATGATTTATGAAGGAGACACGCAGTGTTGGAGATGAGGCAGGCGATAATGGAGGAAGATTAATGGAAGAAAATAGAGAAAATTTTGGATATGCTATCTCCGTTATTATACATGTCTGCCGGTAATGTAATAGATGAAAATTTTCTTATAATTAGACGTCCTATTCGAATGTGATAATAGATTAGTGGTAGGAATGAACGGTGTGTAAACGCAATAATAGCCACAGTTTTTTGGACCTGCGGCTTCTTCAATCTTGAGCTGTGACCCCTTGTGGGGCTAGCGTTCGCCAAACAAACCTACCTAACCTTACCTATCTTCCCCAGTATATTAAACACAAAGAACTTACTATGATATGGTGAAATTTTAGGCATTTCTGGACGTGAGATGATACAGCCACATCGGTGCTATGCAGCCCTGGTGGGTTAATTCTATATATTAACCAAATATTATTGTCATTGTTCATGGTTTTCCTTATATTTTCGGTAATATCTGAGAACAGCACTACCATCAGAAAGAGTTGTTCGATTTCGTTCATTTTCCACATACGTTCTTATCTCTATAGTTAGTATTTTAAAAGAGGCAACATTTACTCGAATCTAATATAGAACCTGACCTAATCAACCAAATAAATGTACTTAACCTTGGTATTGCTATTGTTTTAGTCATATAGCTAATTTTAGGCTTTTAAGTTCTGATATCAGTAAGTTGTATTGACAATTGGTAAATTTTTACAAGTGGACAACCATGGATTTTTTGTTGAGCAGTGTGCATTTCCGGTGTTTTTGGGTAAAAGTGTAGATAACAGCTACCACCAGAAGGAATTGTCCGAATTGGTTTAAATTTTTTCTACACTCTAATATCATGATATTAAACACAAAAATGGAAATGACAATGCATAGCACTTAATAGAACCTGACCTAACATATCTATAGGTTGGGAATGTTAGGTCAGGTTCTATTAGGTTCAATGCATTATCATGTTAATTAATGTGTTGAACAACTTACTTAATATTGAGGTTGATATACATCAACAATGGCAAGGATGAATTCGTGGAAGCGTTGACCATCACTTATAGGAAATGTCTCTTGAAGAGGGATTCAGCGAGGTAAACAACAAAAATGGCGCCGGGAGGAGAATTGTACTGTATATCAAATGTAATTGCTTGCACCAACTATTAATTTGATTTTCACTTTGAATTCCAAGTATACTGTACTGTACAGTACCTGTATTTAATATTCTTTATTTAACAAGTAAAGATACTGGTATGTAAGATATGCCTATATCAGAAAGAGACAAAGTAGTTAGTAAAACCTAGCTGGGTTTGGGCAAGCCTCCAGGAACCATTGTCCTGCTGGGAACTGGTGGGAACAAACAGGCTGGAACTTGATGGCTTGTGTACCTCTTTCAGTGTTGCTCTCCTATGAGCATTTTTATTTTACTAAATCTCTGGTGATAGATTTATTTTTGTGTAGTTTAGTGTTACACTATATCTAATTTTATAGTTTTGAATTGTGTAAGAAGGGTAAGCACTTCTTTATGTATACTGTATCTGTATACTGTATTTTATATATAAAAGATACACTATATCTGGCAACACAACAGAGGACAAGGAAGAAAGATGCCACATTCTGTACACATATTGCATGCAGCACCCTGTGGCTGTGCTCAAGAAGTATATTGTGCTGTATAATTCTTAATTTAATCATGTTGTTCAACCTCCATGGTATTCAAGATCTGACTCCTCCATTACTGGTAAATAACAAATCACTTTGGCTCCAGGAACTGTACAAAACTTACATACAGTAGTGTATTTTGTTTGAAATGAAGAGATTATTATATACAATACAGTAGGTTTGGGGACTTTTGTATGTTTTTTGCACACTTAAGTACAATATTACAATATTTACTCTTGTTAATAGAATATAGGATAGGTTATCATACTGTATTCTTCTTGGGAATTAAGAAGTTAGGAATAATTTTAAAATGTAAATTGTTTTATTTTTTTTTGCACCAATAACTGCTACCAGTTACTATATTGTAACAGGCTATCTATAAAGTTAAAGAATCTATAACATTCAAAGCTGAGGATTACCTGGAGGTTATGGGCTGCCTGTCCAATCAATGTGTCAAATTCACATTCTCACTTTTTCCCCGGCCACCTAAGATTGGACCATAGTAGTCTTGTGTGTACAGTATGTTGGGGAATATTTCATTCAATGACTTACTTTGTACAGTGCAGTATATTGTAGTAGGCAGCTATCAAATAGGGAGGTACTACTACCTGGGAAGATATTGGAGGCATAATGTATTGTCTAATGGTAGACCCTGCTGCCATATGGCATCACAAAATTTGTGACCAAGTCCCAGGTTGCTGATCTGACTTTCTGTCTCATTTACACACAATTGCAGGGTCTTAATTGTTTCTCTTACTTTGACAACACAACATACATACTGTATATTATTTCTTACTGTTGATCTTTTTATTTTTGTATTTATGGTTCTTTATTAATGTTAGTGCAGTAAAGCCTCGAATAACGACAGTAATATGTCCTCCAATATTGCGGTGTAAGGTGAATCATCGTATCGTGGATCATTAATTACCATGAAAATAGAGCAATAATAATAGATGTGTTCCTAAGTGTGACCTTTTCATATCTTTTGTGTGGCTTTTTACCCTCTTTTCCTCCCAAACCACATAATTAATGAAAAATGCAAACTACAGTGGTCCCTCAGTTAATGAACACAATTCGTTCCACAGAGTCGTTCGTTAACCGAATCCATTGTTTCAATGGGATATTGGGTAATTGGTTCCAGCTCACAGAAAAGTACATACAAAGTAAAAAAAAAATGCAGTAAAGTATACTTACTTTGAGGTGTGTATGTAGAAGGTTCCTGGTTGGTGATGATGATGGGAATTAGAAGCGGGGGTGGAGGAGAAGGGAGAAGAAAAGGAAGTGGGGATGGAGGAGAAATCACCTTTCAGGGGACCGATTCTTGATGCCGTCATTTCACCAATAAAATTAAAGTTCACTAGGTGTAATTCAAGTTTATTTGATTTAAATCAACACTGCACTGCACTATATATTATCAATATGTTAATTAAATTTCATAATGATCAATAATTTTGATGTAAAAATGCAAAAATATTCAAGATACCAACAAAATAGATGTTCACTCCACTGTCAACAAAGCCACACTGACTCCTAGTGGCTGAGTCAAGCGGCTGATGGGCGCACAAAAAACTAGTTCCCTGTGCTGCATATATTATCAATATGTTAATTAAATTTTAAAATGACTAATAATTTTAATATAAAAAATGCAAAAAATATTAAAGTGCACAACTTTCT